GTCCCCCCAGCCCCGGGCTGAGGACGTGAGGGGTTCTCAGCTCCGCCCTCAGCAGGGCCCTGGTTGCCTCCTGCCGGAATTGACCAGGTTGTGGCCTGCTGCCGCAGGGGCGGTCTCCTGGTCTGGGTGGATCTTCCCGCTGATGCAAAGCTGCTCTTGTGACCAGCCTGGGTCAGACGCCCCCCACCCCAGTCTGGACAGCCCCAGGACACAGGAAGGACGGGTTCCCTAATTCCAGCCTCCGGACCAATCTCTGATTTATTACCTGGGGCCCTTCCTAAACTCAGCAGCTCATCCTGCCATGGCCCGGGCTGCACCTGTGGTACAGGGCATGGGCACAGGTGCTACAAGTAAGGGTGCCGGGGTACGGCAGGACCCCCTGGTTTGAAGCGGTTTCCATCACCTACAGGATTTAGAGTTTGGTTCCCTGGGTCTCAGCACCCCCACTCTACAAACCGTTCCATCCCCCCAGGTTTGGGGTCACCCTGCCACGGGTCCCGCTCTGGGCTTACCCAGCAGATGCCAGTTTCCACAGCTGCCAGTCTGGCCCCTGCCTTCCGCTAACAACATCCAGCCCTGGGGTGAGGAAATCCCTCTGCAGGCCCCACGGGAGCACGTGACCCGTGTGGCTGGTAACAGGATGTCATGCCTGCTAGCACAGCCAGACAGGCAAGAGGCCAAGTGACTGTGCCAGTCCCGGGCCCCTCTGATGCTGGGGGCTCCGTGGGGGCCCGTGGGCAGCGCCTGCCTCTTTCCAAATCCTCACGTGGTCCCGGCACCTCCGGCGTTTCCAGCCTCGCTACCCAGTACCCGTTTGCAGCACCAAACCACCAGTTGTTTGCTGTCCGGGCCTGGCCTCTGCTGCCCTGACGGGTCCCAGCGTGGCCAGGATCTGCGGCTCTCCCTGTAAGCTGGGTCCTGCCTGGCATGTGAACTGGCGGCATCTCAGAGCTTGGTTCTCTGGCTAGGTAGCAGTTCTGCAGAAAAGGACCTAGGGGTCACAGTGGACGAGAAGCTGGATATGAGTCAACAGTGTGCTCTTGTTGCCAAGAAGGCTAATGGCATTTTGGGCTGTATAAGTAGGGGCATTGCCAGCAGATCGAGGGACGTGATCGTTCCCCTCTATTCGACATTGGTGAGGCCTCATCTGGAGTACTGTGTCCAGTTTTGGGTCCCACACGACAAGAAGGATGTGGAAAAATTGGAAAGAGTCCAGCGGAGGGCAACAAAAATGATTAGGGGTCTGGAGCACATGACTTACGAGGAGAGGCTGAGAGAACTGGGATTGTTTAGTCTCCAGAAGAGAAGAATGAGGGGGGATTTGGTAGCAGCCTTCAACTACCTGAAGGGGGGTTCCAAAGAGGATGGAGCTCGGCTGTTCTCAGTGGTGGCAGATGACAGAACAGGGAGCAATGGTCTCAAGTTGCAGTGGGGGAGGTTTAGGTTGGATATCAGGAAACACTATGTCACTAGGAGGGTGGTGAAGCACTGGAATGCGTTACCTAGGAGGTGGTGGAGTTTCCTTCCTTAGGAGGTTTTTAAGGTCAGGCTTGACAAAGCCCTGGCTGGGATGATTTAGTTGGGGATTGGTCCTGCGGTGAGCAGGGGGTTGGACTAGATACCTCCTGAGGTCCCTTCCAACCCTGATCTTCTATGATTCTGTGATTCTCCACCCCTCAAAACTCCCTCTCCTCCCTCTGGCTGAGTCAGCTCCTGCCTTGCTCAGATTCCCTCTCCCTGAGTTAGCTAGCGGGGGCAGGAGTCCACTGAGAGAGGGGAGGTTCCTTCTCCAGCTGGACCAAGATCTGCAGCCTCTGGGTCATAAGGGTCTGAATCCAGGGACTGGGGCCCTAGGCAGCATCTGAACCTCCAGGAGACTGAACAGCACCCGACAGATGGAAACATCCCCCACCCCCTCCCACAGCCGCTTCGGGTGCAGGTCTCTGTGGGTCAGCCAGGGAGCAGGTCCGTCTTTCTCCGGGGCATTCTTCCTCCCTAGATCCCACTAGGCACAGAACTCCTCACACACACACACCCCCTAAGCTGTGGCTGTGCACTGTTAAACAGCCCCCGCTCCACCCCAGAAGCAGCTGCATTCTCTCACCGTAACCGCAGTTCCTGTGCATCTCATTAGCAGCCCCCTTTGCAAACCCCCGCGGTAGGCACGCTATCCTCACCACGGAGTTGGGTTCAGTGGGTGGTCCTGCGTTTGGAGTGTTCTTTGTCCTTTGCATGCTCCCTCTCCCGTTCTAGCTCAGTGGTTTGGACTTCGCTATCTAACTGCAGGCAGGAGCTGGGCTTCCCCGTTTCAACACAGCAGGGTTGGGAGTGAAAAGCCAAATGTATGGAAAGCAAGAGACATGGCGGGTTGTGGGCTCTCTCCCAAGGCGTGTCCCTGGGAAGCGAGTGGCTCTGTGACCCACCCTGTCCTGAATGTCTAGAAGGCAGCCACCTCCCTGCCTCAGTTCCTGCCCCACTTCCACCCCTCCTCCCAGCATGTCATGCTCTGAAACGCTGCCAGCTGGCGGGAGGGGGCACCTCATCTGCAGCCCAGAACACAGCCCCTCTGGGCAGCCAGGGGAGCAAATTGCCAGCGAGTAGCTGGTCACCGGCCCGGTATGGAACGTGCCTGGGGGCTCCGTCCCAGGCCCAACAGACAAGTGCCCCTGGCCCAGAACGGCCCAAACTCCAGCCATGCTGCTCCCCTTGTACAGGGGGCTGGGCGCCACCCCGCCTGGGAGAGCCCCTCCAGAGAGAGACGCATCCCCTGCAAATACCTCTACCCCCCCTCCCGTGCTGCCCTTTCCCAGCCACCCCAGCGCTGTCAGGCGAGGGCCCAGCCCTTTCGTCTAAAGCCGGGTATTTCTCCCCCTCCCGGAGGGTGACTGCCCTGCCCTGCCCCCCAGGCAGGCTGGGCTCTAGCCGCGGGGGGAGGATCCCGTACGCTCACCTAGGGAGAGAATACGAGCGAGCGAGCCCCATGTGACTGGAAGGGGCCCAGATACCATGGTGAGGGGTGCAGCGGCAGCACCTACCGAGAGCGCAGGAATCTACGGAGCAGAGGGGTTGGTGCTGGTTTGGATGCGGTGCCATCCGCTGCCAGGATCAGGCACATCAGATCTCACCTCAGGCAGCTCCCGGAAGCAACGGCATGTCCCCCTTCCAGCTCCTATGTGGAGGCGCAGCCAGGAGGCTCTGCGTGCTGCCCCGTCTGCGGGCACCGCCCCCGCAGCTCCCATTGGCTGGGAATCGCGGGCAGAGGGAGCTGCAGGGGCGGTGCCCACAGACGGGGCAGCACGCAGAGCCTCCTGGCTGCGCCTCCACGTAGGAGCTGGCCGCATGCAGAGCAGAGGTAGCATGCGGCAGAGGTAGCACGCGGAGCAGAGCCCCCTGGCTGCCCCTATGCATAGGAGCTGGAGGGGGGATGTGCCGCTGCTTCTGGGACCTGCTAGGAGCGGCCCCCGACCCTGCTCCCCGGCTGGAGTGAGGCAAACCCTAGACCCTGCTCCCCCCCACAGCTGTCAGCGCTGCTTGTGCAGGACAGCAAGTGTGGGCACCCGCCTGGGGGAGCTGGGCAGCATTTCTCACAGGGCTGTCACACCAGGGTGTGCCCCAGGCCCAGCCACCCCGCCCCCACTCCCTTCCCTGCCACCGTCAGTCCGAGAGGAAGGAAACAACACGACTGGTGCTGATGATTAGAAACACAGGGCCCCGCGCCATGCGAAACGGAAGTGGGGGGGCGGGCGGCCAAGCCCAGGGCTGGTTCAGATAAACACCCCCTCCCCCTAGGAAACATCACCCCAGGAACTGGGCACGATTGACAGCTCGGGGTGAGGGGCAGAATGGGGGGAGGAAACTAATGGTCTGTAACATCACATCTCCGGTGCTCCCAGCCCCCATCTTCACACGTCAGCCTGCGTGTGTGCTCCGGGGCGGGTCAGAGCGGGCTCCCCGCGAAGGAGGAACAACTGAGTGCTGTAACTAAAGGGGTCTGGGCAGCGCCCAGCACGACGGGGCCCTGATCTCGGTTGGGGTCTGGGCAGCGCCTGGCGCGACGGGGCCCCGATCTCGGTCACGGTCTGGGCAGCGCCCGGCCCGAGGGGGCCCTGATCTCGGTCACGGTCTGGGCAGCGCCCGGCCCGAGGGGGCCCTGATCTGGTTTGGGGTCTGGGCAGCGCCTGGCCCGATGGGGCCCCGATCTCGGTCACGGTCTGGGCAGCGCCTGGCCCGATGGGGCCCCATTCTCGGTCACGGTCTGGGCGGCGCCCGACGCGAGGGGGCCCTGATCTCGGTTGGGGTCTGGGCAGCGCCCGGCGCGACGGGGCGCTGATCTGGTTTGGGGTCTGGGCAGCACCCGGCCCGATGGGGCCCCGATCTCGGTCACGGTCTGGGCGGCGCCCGGCACGAGGGGGCCCCGATCTCGGTCACGGTCTGGGCAGCGCCCGGCACGAGGGGGCCCAGGTCTGGGTCAGGGTCAGGGTCGGGGCAGCGCGCGGCACCCAGGTCTGGGTGGGGGTCTCCTGGACGCAGTTCTCGGTTTACTACACTGCACCCTGAGGGTTTCCTGCCTTTGTACCCAGCCCCACGGCGCCCGTCTCCCCGACACGCACCATCAGCCATCGCTCGCCCCGGCCACGCAGCGGACCAGCTAACGGGCCCGGTTCCCCCCCACAGCCTCCGCCTGGCCCCCGCCGTACAGCCCCCGCCTGACCGTCCCCCGCTGACAGCGGAAGCCCGGGGGTGGGGGATGCGGGGGCTCAGCCCGTGGGCGTTACAGGGTCCGGCTGCCGGGGGCCCTAAGGAGAAATAGCCCGGGGTGGGGGGGGTACGACTGGGGATCCCAGCTCCCCCCCCCCGGCCGAGCCCAGCACATGGGGCAGCCCCACCCCAGCTCCCCTCGGGCACTTTCCCGCCCAGCTGCCGGGCGTGGGAGGGCCCCGATCCTGGGCACGGCGCCCGGCAGGGACGCAGCCCCCCCGCCCCACCGAGCCCCCCCTTACCGTAAGCCTCGTCCGGCTCCTTCCGGCCCATCGCGCTCCCCGCTCCCTGCACTGCTCCGCCGCAGCCGCTCGCCCTGCACAGCCCGGGGGCCGCCGGGGGGGGGGCGCCGGGGGCGGGGCTTGAGGCCACACCCCCAGAGCTCGGCCCCCCAATCGCCTGGATCCTCGGGGGCCGCGCGCCCCGCCCCCTGCTACGAGAGCCGCCTGCCTGGGGAGGGGCGGGGCCATATAGCCCCATGGCCGCCCCATCCGGCCATCAGTCCATATGGTCCAATATCCCCCCTCCTGCTGCCTGGGACTGGACCATCAGTCCGTATAGTCAGAGAGCTCCCTCCTGGGCTTGCCCAGAGGGGCATCGGTCCATCTAGCCCCGTATGGAACCTCCTGCCACTGCAGATCAGAACTTCGGTCCACAGAGCTCATCTTCCACCCTAGATCGGCTCATCGGTCGCTATTGTCTGATATCTCTCCTCCTGCCATGCCAGGTCAGCGCCCTCCTTTCTGCCCTGCAGGATCGAGCCGTTACAGGCCCGCTGGCCCCGTGCCTGCCCCCTGCTGCGCTTGTTAGGCCCAAAAACCGAAAAACATGTTTATCTCGGCTTCTGCTTGTTATCCCAGTAAACATGCTTATCTCAGTTCTCACTGTCGTTTCCCATGCATGAAGCTGCACGTATACAGGATGTATAGAAGATATATGGAAAAGGGGAGGGGGTTGGACGGACCCTGGGAAAGGAATGTGAAGGACGGGAAGCTAAACAGATGTATCCTGATTGCTACTAGAACTGAATTTAAACAATGCATAGGTTAGCAAGATTTAGGCCCCGTAAGTTGGTTGTCTCTCTGTATAAAAGAAGCCCAGTTGTGCTTGTAAGGTGTGTTCCTCCCCCTGGCGTCAGTCGAGGGCCCCCTTCGCCCCCCCTATTCAAAGCTAAAAAGCCCTAGGCCCTCTA